TTTTGAGGTGTTTGAACAATCCCTTTACATTCCACCTAATTTTCACTGTTACAACTACATTTATCGGTACTTTTAAATTGACTTGTTTTTATTCTGATCAAATTGGTGGTGTTGCAAAGCTATATATATATTATTATTAGTTTATCTGCTCAGGATTCCTCCATTCCTAGAAAGGAAAAGAAAATGCGCTTCCCAACTCCAGAATTTGATCAGAAAATAAGTCAAATTTGTTGTCAACTTTGTATCTTTTTTCAGCAGGGGTTTCGTTAAGAGACTGCAGCTGGTTAAATAGCTGTCTACTTGGCTCGTTCAGTCAGCTACTTTGTATTTTAAAGACTAGTAACCTATAGAAAAGTATCACATTTTGGTCTCCTACTTTCTACATTTAGACATCAATAAACTCCAGAACTTAGCAAAACCCCTGCTTTAGATTTAGCCACTATTCAATGTGCTACGTCTATTTCTCAATCACACTAATTATTTTTTATGATCATAATTAGTTTCATGATATGATATTTCTAACTATAGTTTGTTTTTTTATAGCTGAACTTTATTCTGTGGAAGTATACTGGTAATGGACTAAATGATGGGTTAATTGAGAGTCAATGGTTTCTTTTTCTGAATCTCCTTATTCTGCTACCCTGGATTATTTTAATGAGTTTTTCCACTTTTATATTTATATTTTTTATATTCTATATTTTTTTATTATAATTTTATTTTTTGCTAGTTTGTTGTAAGTGTTTTCTCTGCCAGGGGAAGGCTACATCCATTTTATATAAAAAAAATTGCAGGTCACACAAGCTATTCAAAAAATGACATCATTTTTAGAAGATTTGTAATTGACCTCTGTGTCAGTAGACACTGCTATTAATTGACACATACTGTGTATGTTACTAATTGACAATGTGAGTCAACACATGTTAAAACAAGTTGCATGTTTCCGGAATATCCTTTGAATGGTACTATTACCGTAAAATCTGTATTAGAAGCTGCATCCCTTATAGAAGTCGCACTCATTCTTTTTGAATAATTGAGAACCAAAAAATTCATCATTTCACATATGTGTAGATGCTCTAATAGAAGCAGCATTCCCTCTGTTGCATTTTACCATTTTAATAAAAGCCATGGTTTCTAATACAGATTTTACAGTAACTACATGTAACTACATAAATTTGCGAGAAGATTGTCAAAAAGAAAATTATTATTTTATCAATGTTGAAATAAAGTATCCAAAACTAATTCCAAAAATAAAACATTTTTGTCAATTATGTATTTTTCATTTTAAATACAATATTAGTTTATATGTCATGTAGTCATAGTAACTATCATGCATTATGTCTGTGGTTACCACAACACTTTTGTTCATAGTATTAAAATTAGAAAAGAATAATTTAGATGATTGAAGATGATACTTACGGGTGACAGTGTCCCACACTAATGGTGTTGATGCCAGCAAAGAAGTCTAGATAACGCTTTCCTTGTTCATCAAACAACCACTGCATATGACCTTCTGCTAACATTAATGGTTTTTTATAGTATGTCATCAAAGATGGCGTTAATCTTTCTTTTCTTGTTTCCAATGCTTTCTCATAAGTTATACCCTGTTGAAATGAGAAAAATGATTAAAAATTCTCTGTATCTGGATGTATGCAACTTACTAACATTTTCATTCTGTTTTACGCATTGCAACATGGGAAGAGGTTGGTGCTGATGTCATTTGCGGCTCATGCTATTATTAAAACATAAAAAGAGTTGTATAGTTCTGTCATGGTTTTTGAGTTGACAGAACATTGTACCTTGACACCCCTTCTCTAAACCTGGATAGTCCATTATCATTACTGAGCAGTTTAAACAACTATATTTATAACAGCAATCATGGAAGATTTTAGGGAATTTCAAATATTTTTTTTCATAGAACAAAATCCAGCGACATTAAAAATTGTCACAAAATGAAATTTATTGATAAATAAATAAATAAATAAATAAATAAAAAAATAAACAATGCTGCCTGTCCCTTCAGTGAAGTTTACAGGAAAATTACTTCGATAATAATCTGATGTATTGTGAAGCGTGAATATTGTTTACTATAATTTTTTATTAATTTTTAATTATATAAAACTTACTTGTGTTCTTT